TCAGTCGTTGTACATCCATTAAATATCATCGATTCAGCTAGGAGTAATGTCTTGGAATTGTCCGAAGTACACCGCTTTGGTTTAATCCCAGCTCGTCGTACAAATGTTCCAAGCATCAGCATAACAGTCTCTGACTCTTGACATTCAGAAATCATCTGGAATACCGAGAGGATTGTCTTCGAGAAATTTATGACTATAGAGAATAAAAATATATGTCCACTCTTCAAGCCCATGGGCCGTTTCAACTTCCGAATCATACTACCTGTTGAATCAATACTAATAACAGACTTCTGTCTGTTAATACGACAGTACTCTCGGTACGATGCAATCTGCGCATCTGTACCATAAACGATAAAAAATGGGCATGCAGATACATGAGTGATAGTCCCAAAATATGGCTTTTGGAATTGAAGCTCTTCTACAACATGAATGGGGTTCGTTTTTCTCTTGGCTTCCAATCCCAAGTTCTCTCGACCCACTTCTCTTTTAGCATGAGTAATAACATCCAGTGAAGGGACACCTGGTGCAACTGGATCTCCTCGCCTTGTGGTTTCACGCATCATATTGTTCCGAGCATTGAAACATCCTTCAGCTAGAGCCATCCTACTAACCAACTTCCTCTTTTCACCATTGCATGGACGACTGATGTGCCCATGTGCTGTGTGATACGTATCCCTTGTCTTAATTACCAACAGCAAATTTCCAGTGATAGGGCAGGGCTCATTATCTGCAATTCCTACGAATCGATTGCCACACGTTTTGTCGAGACAATATCCAAGTATTTTCACGTAATGTTTTCTGTCAGATGAAGTATAAACATATCCATAACTGAAGCCAAATGCACAAGGCATTCTATATTCTTCATAAAATAAGTTAGGGATTACATTTGTCCATACACCCTTCCTCAAGTTATGTTGGATCTTTGATTTCTCTAATGTAACAGGTTTAATTTGATTCCATACTTCTGACGTTAAATTTAATTTGAATGTTGTTTCATTCTCATCTACCTCTGAATCTGCTTCTTCATGGTCCGACTTTTCATTCCGTGAATCATTGACAGTCTCATCAATAGTCGGGGCTGCTTCAGGAGGGGGGACGTTGACACCCTTATTCTGTCGAGCCATACTCAAAATTTTACGTCTATCATTAGTAACATTCGTATACCAACTGAAGGGTTTCCATTTCTGACTACAACAGTTTTTGCTCATCTCCTTCCAGATATCAGCGGTACTCTTTGGGAAGGCATTCGTTCGAAAGTTATCTATGTAGGCTTCTACTGCTTTAACTGCCTCTTCAACATTCACACAACTCGCCTTTGGCATGATGTATTTTTGTGTATCTGTAAATTGTAACTTCTAGTTGAAGATAAAATCATATTAAGAAAAAAAAATCATCTGGCGAAAATGAATAAACCATCATCATCCAAAACAGTATCTCACCAGAAACAGTAAAGTAATAACATCCTACAAGACGAATACAACAATGACGATGTGAATAAAAAACACAGACCACATGCCACCTGATGATCGGACACTCGTTCCCTTGTTCCGTTGTCCAATTCGGTGTCCCTTGGTTCAAGTTATACCCTTGAAAAATCCCATGATACTCCCACTAATTTCAAATAAATAAATCCTGCAGATATTACTATATCTCAATTCAATAAGGATATATGTTGATAATTAACCAATTTACACTATTATACATCGAAGCCATTGAACTAACTGAGTAACCTTAATGATTATTCCACCATGACTCAGAAATTCTCAAAACGTCAATGTTTATTCTGTCAGTGCTTTCATTCAATAAATGTGGAAATTTCAGTTCTAATTCCATTTTTCTATATATAATTAGATAAAAAAAAAATTTTTTTGATTCAATAATTTGAGATTAAAATTACCTTTGACATTTCTACTATTGAAATACTAAATTAAAGACCCATGTCAATGGAAATCGTTATTGATTCTGCTTAAAAGTTAGGCGATCTGGAATTTGAACATTTTAATCCCATTGTGTATTTGATTATTTATTGCAAATTTTAAAAACTGTAGTTCTGGACGATTAATATCCAATAACATTATTAAATGAAGGGACTTTCAATAAATATTTATAAGAGTATAATATTTGAGAAGTAATAGGACTACAATTATGAAATGATGAGATGCACCATCTAACTCTCATGTTCATTCAAGTGCCTATTTTCCCGAAATATTGATAACAATTAGGAATGCGTACCGAGATAAATCCACTTACAGTTGATGTTTCCTGGATCTACTTCCATTATCGTTATACAGGTAGATGCATTCTGTTTATAATCCTTTATTATCAATGTGACCTACAATGTGAATGTTTTAGATATTCAAAATTAAATCTGATCAAATTATTTCAGAAAAATATGTTTGATTAACACACATTCAAAATTTGAAATAATTTTCGTCTCTTTTTTTCCCGTTCATCATCAGCATTCTGATTTTCACGAAATCGATCCAAAAACAGCAATTCTGGCTCATGGTCCTCGGAATTCCCTCCAGTGGTAGAGTTTTATTCGACGTATATTCCTGGAAAATTCAGTCGCAACGTTTATTCAAATTAATTTAGAGATAACTATGCTAATTATGGATTTCTCAAGTGCAATTGATCAATCTAGTTTGGAGAAAGGAGTATTAAATGTCTTGAAAAACTCACGTGCAGGATTTGAGCCTTCAAATTCTTCTGAGGATTAGCCATCATCTTTCTTTCATCTGTAGCACACCAGTTTTATGTGGATATATAGATAGAAAAATACCATAGGGAATGCCGGATCCTTACCTGCCATAGAGTTATCGAAGAAATTACCAAGAAAATATAAGAATGTTAACCGACACGTGGAATATCGAGTGAATGAGACGTGACTTGATTCTTTCCTTGCGACAGCCAACTTTTCCGAAACTCGTTCCATTCTCATTTAAAGACTACGAATTTCTTAAGAAATATAATGATTTAATGATCGTGGATATTGTATAAATGATGGAAATCGAATAGTTATTTACTCCAAAAATGCAATGGAGCACGCTTCATTATGCTCCGAAATGAACATGGCGACAACACAGGAACCATAGCAGCTGTCGTGTGGAGTGGGGGGCGAATGAGAATTATTAATTTTTTATTTGATCAATTAATAAAGAATGTACAAACGAAGAAAATATGTAATTCATGATGTACAAACAGGTTCCTATTGAATTGACCATTTATTGGACCCATTGAGCAATTTTTCATTTTTTTCCGGCCAGCATCATGGCAAAAATAGAATAATTATTTATAATTAATGAGTGAATGTACAAACAAAAAAAAATCTAGTACAATCATGTACTAACGATGTACAATCGAATACGTTAGATAATTTTTCCAATTATTGTACCCTTCCTGCTAAGTACACGGGGGTTTTGGCAGCAGTATTCCATGGCGATTAGATTTAAGGCCCGGCCTTCTCACCGTGGGAAAATCGTAGTGACTTTTACCCCCCCACGGTTTGCGGCAGACTTCGAAGCTCCATATAAAAAAAACACGGTCGGTAAGGAGAAAAGTGACAAAATAGCACAATTTTCCAGGGCCGTCTAGAGTTCCGAAGTCAGGGTGCCTAATTTTATACCCCCGCACAAAATTTACAAAAGTAGGCCGCCGTATACTTGGTCCACCAATTAATTGGAATCATTAATTACCCTATGAAATAATTAGGAAATAATTTGGAGAAATTTCAGGAGTAGGTTTCATAATTTCAGGAGACATCGTCAATTAATTATCAATTTTTTCTGATTAGAGGGTAAAGTTTGCGATTATTTTTTATTTTTTCGAACTGGTAATTACGAAGAATCTTTTGAGGGAGTGTTTTCTGTAGGTTTCATAATTTGGAGAATCGATAAAGAATTGATAATTAACAAATAAAATAATTCCATCAATTGGAAATTCTACGCATGCACGCTGTACCCTCGTTACGTCCTACGTTATCGAAACTCGTTTCAAAAAAGTTAACTATTAATCATAGAAAGCTTGTTATTAACTAATTTTACACAGGTATATTTAAGTAATGAGTTAATGAAAAAGGGCATTTTATTTATGACTAATTGAACCACCCCCGACAGTTACGCCCCTCTGAGACCTAATTGCCGCCACGTCGCAGGTTATACCTTAGGTTATTACCTTTCTTCCGATATGAAAAGCATAATTTTTCATGTGGTATTTCGGCCGTTATTAGGAATTCCGTAAAACCCAATTACTTGATCGAAATGTAGGGAATTCTGGGGATTCGGGGGGCAAAAAATGGCCATAAGTAGTAGATAAGTGGGAGTGAGATAGCTAAAGTAGTAAATATCTCATCGTCAATCATCTCTAGTTCATGGCAATTGTTTCCCCCACAACCCCCACAATTTCCTGCATATTTATAAAATAATTGGGTTTCACGGGAATACTAATTAGAGCGAAAATACTACATAAAAAGGTCCGATTTTGGGATGAAATGAAAGGTAATAACTTACCTCATGTCGGTAATTAGGGCTCAGCGGGTAAAACAGTTGGGGGTGTTTAATTCCGCACCAATTTAACACCCTTTTGCCCACTGCGTTTTGCAGTATATGTATACATATAGAGGGTGTTATGTGCCTATTAAAAAAAAAACAATATAGATTTATATATATATAGCGGTATATTGCATATAACGGGGAGACTGACAGGATCATAAAAAAAGGTCTCTATAGGTATAGTATAGATCGACTGAGGGGGTGATTCTGAGTCGATCTGTACTTATAAATATCTACCTGAATATGCCACCCTCACCAACCCATTTCCAAGATGGCCGACGAGAGTTTAACAAAATTTATGAATTTTTTTTTTGTTCGAATCTGGCGCGTTTCCTGCTGCGCTCTACAACGTCTTGCGTGCGCCTTTTCAGGCCAACGGGAAGCCCCAACTTGGGCGATCGTAAGTTCCCCCACTTCTCAAATCTTATTTTTACACCACAAAATGTAAAGTAAGTTTGTTTTTTTAAGATGTTTGCGTGAGAAAAAAAACATTACTAATGAACCGTTTGCAATTTCATCCTTCGCGCCTTTTTATTACCGGGAACAATGCCCGCCCTTTTTCATTTTCTTATCACGTGATTCAATCAATTTGTGATTATATTCACATGATAAGATATATGTTAGAGCTAGAAGTGAGTGGCGGCTACATCCGATATTTTTTTCATTTCTTTTTGGAAATAACCCTGGAACGGTTAAAAAAAAATCAGCTGTAAGGAGTTGTCGATTCACGTTGGAGCTCCAGGAGTCGAAAGTTGGGCAAATATTCTTCCAGAGCAAGAGGAGGAACTCGAGTACGATAGCCGAGATTATGTCGACGACAGTGGATTCTTTCAAAAATTCAAATACAGGAGATACATGAAGACAGGGTGCGCGCGCATTGTAGTCCCGACCGGAAACCACCACTTCGGTTATGGTAGGTTGGCAGCACCATTCTTCCGCAACGGTATTACGACAAAAAATGACTGGTAAGAGCATTTATTCCTATTTTATCCCAAAAAACCTAATAATTTCAAGCTTTAACAATTAATAATTACAATTATTATAGTAGGCCTATACCTATTACCTATTCATTTAAGTCTTGGCAAATAAAAAAAGGCAGATGAACAACAATTCGATCGATCAAGCATCGGTCGTAAATCTTCACTCATCTGCCTTTTTTTCCCCAAGATTTCCACACTTTCAGGAATAAGCCTGCTGAAATAATTGCAATTCTTCGTTATGCCAGCTTGAAATGATTTCATTTTTCAATTTTTTGTTGGAATTTTCGAGATTGGCATTTGAAAACTAACCCGTTTTTTGCATTTTAGACCAAAATCAAGTGGGTGGAGAGCCAGATGGGCTAAAAGAGCAGGAGAGAAACCCGGTAAGTTTTTTAGCCATCAGTTCTACTAGGTTTCTTGGAAATCTTGGAAAAAAAAAAAAAATGATTGGACTTGTCTTGTCCAAAAGGTCGTGATGGAACCACCACCGGGACCGGCCCTTCCCCAACAACCTCGAGTGTCACCAGCAGAGGCTATTCTGCCTGAACAGCCACTGGCTGGGAATCAGACAGGCGGAGGTGTTGTTCCTGGGGACCGAAGTCAGGCTATCCTCGTCAATACCATGGAGAGACTCCTGGACATCCTGAATCGCCAGGAGGAGGAGAAAGAGCGCAACAGAGAGAGGAGGAGGGAAAAGAGGAAGCAGAAAAGGCAGCAATTTGGGAAGCATGGGGGCGAAGGGAAACGTGGCGGAGGGGGCGGGGGAAGAGGAAACGGGGGTGGGTACGGTGGAATGGGGGGTAGAGGAAATGGTCTGGTCTTTATAATGAGGGCGTTCCAATGAGTTTATAATAAAAAAAAAAATACGAACCAAATACTGTCTCCCTGTTATTGAAAAACCTTTTACCTTTCACATTTTCCATTTTCATTTTCATTTTCTCCTCTGGACTTTGTGGGTACTGGGTATGGCAAGTTGGCGACTGGAGACTTACGTCTCCAGAATTTTAGGCAGTCGCAGCAGGTGGCCGGCTGTATGTTTTTAAAAATAATTATGATTAAGGGATGCACTGGGTGTCAAGCGAGGAGAAATTCAATTCCCCAGCTATTGCCTCTCGTTTCATCCCTTAATATTAGTTTGGGGTGGAGTTATGTTTTTTTAAATAGCGAGCGGGCGACTGGAGACTGACGTTTCCAGGATTTTAGACAGTCACAGCAGGTGGCCGGCTGTATATGTTTAAAAATAATTATCATTAAGAGATGCACTGGGTGTCAAACGATGAGGAATTCAATTCCCCAGCTATTGGCTTTCGTTGCATCCCTTAATATTAGTTTGGGGTGGAGATATGTTTTTTTAAATAGCGAGCGGGCGACTGGAGACTGACGTTCCCAGGATTTTAGGCAGTCACAGCAGGTGGCCGCCTGTATATTTTTAAAAATAATTATGATTAAGGGATGCACTGGGTGTCAAGCGAGGGGAAATTCAATTCTCCAGCTATTGCCTCTCGTTTCATCCCTTAAAATTAATTTGGGGTGGAGTTATGCTTTTTTGCATGGCGACCGGACGACTGGTGACTGAGGTCTCCACGATTTGAGACTGTCACGGCAGGTTGCCGAGTGTATATCTTTACAAATAATTATGATTCAAGGATGCAGTTAGTGTCAATAGATGGAGAATTTAATTCCCCAGCGATTACCTCTGTTTTCATCCCTCAATATTAATTGAGGGAGAGCCTAAGTTTTTTGGAAAAAACACGTTAGTCAGTAAAAACATGGCTTCTCTACAAATACTACCGATACAAAAAAAAAATATAAAGGTACTACGATGGTATCTATCGCAGAAGCGAGTTCATCCGGTTGGTTTAGTTTGGTAGGAAATCCGTCATTTAATAGGACGTGGTCTGAGTCAGCAAGTGCTCCAAGGAATTCCCGATCCACGGGGCCATCCTGGCCACAGTCTCACACGAGTGAGTCGGGATTAAAGTCACCGTCTATCAGTGTGGCGTAGGAGTCTGGGCGTGAGTGAAGAGGTTGGCCCATTCTGCTCGAGATACGAAGATTCATGGCTTTTTTTACAAGGAGTAGATGTTGATATCATCTTTGAAACTGGGAAGTGTGTTTCCGTAGAGGGATAAATTGTAGAATATATCTGAGACGTTTGGAATGATGGGGTGTGGGATGGAGTCCTTCAGAGCAAGGGCAATAGCAACTCCACCACCTTGTTGGGAGGGTTCATCATTCCTGAATATATTATAGTGGGGTAGTTTTAAGTGTTGTTGGGGGTGTAACCAAGTCTCCGATAAATGTAGTATGTCATAATTGTTGATGATATTCAGAAGTTCGCCCATTCTTGGTCTCAGGCTTTGAGCGTTCCATTGTAGGATTTGGAGGCTTGACTTGTATTTAGTGTGTCGGTCCATCATTTGTGGCAGTTGATGAGTTGAGTTAGATTTATGAGGTCACTGTGTCTGGATGGTTGCTGGTATCGGAAGAGTAGTTTGTGGGTGGTAGATGGTTTGGTGGTTCTTTGAGCTGGGATAGTTGGGAGTAGAAGCCCATAGAGTGGACGATGGGGTATAGATTTTT